GTGCTCTGCTTAATGATGACCTAAATCATATCCTAGTAAACTTTATAGCTTTACAGTCTTAGAAACAATAAAAGCATATCAGCACAATTTACAATAGCTAAGATTTGGAAACAGCCCAAGTGCCCATCAGCAGATGAGTGGATAAAAAAGCTTCAGTACATTTACACAATGGAATACTATGTGGCGGTAAAAAAAAAAGAAGGAACTCTTACCATTTGCAACAGCATGGATGGACCTGGAGAATATTGTGCTAAGTGAAATAAGCCAGTCAGAGAAAGATAAGTATCACATCTCACTCATATGTGGAAACTAATGAACAAAATAAATGGATGACCAAAATAGATACAGAGACATAGAACCATGGAACAGACTGAGGAATTTCAGAGGGAAGGTGGGGATGTGGGTGCTGTGGGGGTTTGGGGATGTGGAGGAGAGATTAATCGGGGAACTTATATGCATACTAGAGGCCTGGTGCATGACATTTGTGCACTGGAGGAGGGGTCCCTCAGCTCGCCTGCACCCTCTCGCAGTCCAGGACCCCTCGGGGGACAGGCCTAAGCCGGCAGGCGGACATTCCCTGAGGGGTCCTTAGTGCTGCCGCCCCTGCGCTTGCCAGCCATGAGCCCAGATCTGCTCCCTGGTGGTCAGTGTGCGCCATAGCAACCGGTCATTCCCCCATTCGATCTATTTGCTTATTAGCCTTTTATTATATAGGATGATGAGCTCTTCTCTTAAAAGTTTGTATTCAGGTTACTGTAAGATCTTGCCTTAGAGAACACATAGTGGGAGGTTTACACATCTTACAGGGGTGAGTTTGCCTGTCTACTGAAGGAGAATGCAGGGCCTTCTGACCCCCAGAAATGTTGGCTTCCTCTTGACACTGGTCCCAGCTTGCCATCCAGCACAGACTAGGTACTCAACCAACGGATGGTGTCTCCTAGATATGATATGAAGGTCCCCAGATCCAAATAAATTCGACCAGGGCCTAGCTCCCGGTCCACAGTGTTTGCACCAAACCCAGCAGGATGGTTTTAGAGCCATAGCCTGGGCTGGAAGCAGACTTTGCCACCTCTTGGCTGTACAACCACAGGCAAGGAGCTTGCTCCCTCATTTGCAAAACGGGATGAACAAGGGCCCACTTTACAGGATTGTGGTTCATGAAATTATGCATGCAAAGTGTTATTTCAAGGCCCACCACTAGCAGAAGATGAGACTATTTTGCAGGCAAGGAAACGGGTTAGGTTGTCGGGAAATAAGGGGGGCATCGGAAGGGATGGGTAAAGGTTCCGCATGGCACGCCGCGGGGTCGCAGCTCTGCTGCCAAAGCTTCCACCAGGGGGGGGGGGGGGGGGGGTGCGGGGGGGCAGTGTTTCTTTGCAAGATCCCTGGCTCCGCCAGCAGAGACCTGGCAGCAGCCGGGCTCGCGCACGCAGCGGCTTTTGGACCTCCCCGGGGA